TTTAAGCGCAAACTAGTTGGCAAGTCTATCTTTCAACTACCCTAATAGGACTTGGATGGTTAACATCAAACAGCTAGGAAGTGTTTCTAACTTTCAATTACCCTAACACCACAAATATCATAAATATTTTTTTCTAGAACAGTTTGTTTGGTACTATATTTTCCTTCATAACTATAGAAATAAATGTCAATAAATGTTATTCCTACATAATTATAGAAACAAAAATTTGAAATCTACCCTTCTCCATCATTTTCCTCAATTTCACAATCCAAATAAAGGAAAAGAAAATAAAGAGAGATTATTTATTTTCTTTAAAAAAAGCACTTTTGTTTATGGGTAAATTACGCAAATGGTCCATAGCCTTTTCTTTCATTGTATTGTCCACAACCTTTAGTTGTAACATTTACATCCCCGACCTTTTAGTGATTGTAAACGACAATTTTACCGTTCCCTTTAAATAACAAGCTAAAGTTACAAAAAGAATAAATCTGTCGCTGTCTTTGAACAAATAAAAAATAAAATACACGAATAAAATGTCTTCCATCCCACTCCAAATAATTTTGTCACTTTCAGTTGCCAAATGAAGAAATAGATTGTACGGATAGCTTCGTCTCATAGAAATGGGTTTGATAAAGTATGCCATATGGAAAAAAAAAAAAATAATTAAAAAAATTAAAAATAATTGCAATTAACAATAACGACAATGACGACGCCACTTCTACCGCAATTGATAGCAATTACTTGGGGTGGGTAAGAAGATCAATTTTATTTTTATTTATTGCTTCATTATTGTATTTTATTTTTTGTTTATATGAAGATAAGGATAAATTTGTCTTTCTAAAAAGCGTTTAGCTCGTTAATTCAAGAGACGGTTAAAATTGTTCAAAGGTTGAGGATAGAAAAATTACAAAATAAAGGTTGGGGACCATTTCCGTAATTAATCCTTCATTTGATAATCTATGATATATTAAAATCTATAATCTATAATCTATTAAAATAGCATAGAAAGGGAGAATTACTTGTTGGACGATTTTAACTCCTACAATTCAATTATTTCAGTAATATCTTACTTTTCGTTTTTCGATATATAATAAATACCACAAAATTATTGTCATTTATGAAATTTGTATTATTAATTCTCAGTTAATTAACATTCACATTAATCTAGATTCAATGAATTTTCACTTAATGAATCTTGAATTACATGAATTTAGAGTTATTATAAATGAATTTATTCATATTCATGTATCTAGAAATTTTAACAGGTGTTTAAATTTATATATTAACAATTAATTTTTATGTATCAAATGTAATATAAAAAGATTGCTCATTTATAGTATTTTATTATTGTAAAAATTTGAATCATAGAAATTGAGTTTTGAGAGTATAATTTAAGTATAATTTTCTTTTCTTAAATTTTTATACTAAATTTTATCTTCTTTAATTTGTTTGAGACTCATCAAATCCTTCAACAAATTTGCATCAAATATTACTTTACATCACTTATAAAGTATTTTAAAATTATGTACAATACATGTTTAACTTTGACTAATTTTAAAAAAAATATCATTATAAATCAATTTAACAATCAAACTTTCTAGTCGGTGGAAAAGACTTTCACCGTCTTAGTCAAATCCAAAATAAATGTCCGAATCAACGCCAAAATACGCCTTAATGTAATGAATAATCCTGGGTATACAAGGTCAGTTATACAATATGTTTTAGAATCGTGCTGCTCTACAGTATACAAGGTCAGTTATAGAATATGTTTTAGAACCGTGCCACTTCATCTCACATTGGGGGTGGCGTGGGGTGGGTATTTTGGGGTTTTTTTTTTTTTAACAATGGGAGACCCATTGATGTGAGAGAAGGTGAGAGTAGGGCTTCTTACAGGCCTGGTAAAGGAGCTTAGTTCTATGTTTTATAGATTTTCACATGAGGTGGGTCTCATGCGGGACCCGTCTCATTAAAAAAATACCCCAAAAAATTGACCCGCCAATGTTTGTGCGTATTTTGGCAGATCCATGTAGGAGGTGTGGGTTCTGTATGTAATTGAATTGCTTTTCCATTTACGAAATCCAATTTATTAACAACTGCATGCAGGGACGGATTCGGGGGAGGAGGCAGGCCTAGGCTGTACTCCCCCCAGGCCCAACAACTTTTTTTTTTACAGGTTTTTTTTTTTTGGTAAAAAATCAATTTTTTATGTGTGAATTTTTTTTTCATGTAGTAGCCCGATTTGAAATTTTATAACCCGATCTTGGATCCAATTCTGAATCCGTCCCTGACAGTGACGGATTGGGGGGGGGGCAGGGCATGGCTGTAGTCCACCCCCCCCGGCCCAACAACTTTTTTTTAAATGTATTTTTTTTGGTAAAAAAATCAGTTTTTTATGTGTAATTTTTTTTCCGACGTAGTAGCTCGATCTAGGATCCAATCCTGAATTCGTCCCTAATCTCTGACTGCATGCACTCTTCGTGTCAATCTCACACACCCCACCACCCCTCACGAATTTTCATTCTCTTCAAGTGATATTTTTCACCGGAAAAATCTGTCCTACTAAGATGGGCCAAGGAGTGCGCCGCAGAACAAGCTTTTTGCATGGGTAAGGCGGCAGTCCTTGAAAGTGATGTCTTTCTTGACCGTGACGACTGTGGTGGCGGTGCTGGTGGCACTCAAACTCTGTGTGAAAGATCACAGCCATTTCTTTATTGCCTCTGAGGCTATCCATTTTGCTGGGATTCTGATCTTGATTTATAAGCTCACCACCCAAATGACTTGCTCTGGTATTATTTTGTTTAAATTATTTTTTCTATATGATTTTTTAATCCATTTTTTTCTTTAATTATGGGTTTTAGATTAACCTTCTTTTTCTTTTTATTTTTTTTGCTACGAATTCCTTGGACTATTGAGTTGGTGTTGAATCCCCCTTTTTTCCCTTACGAACAAAAATTCTGGAATTTTCAACATATAAATTTTAGTGATTTTTTGTAATTCTGATTTATAATTTTTCTTAATAAAATTCTGATAGAAATAAATAGTATTTTTAATGCCATTAATAATATTAAACTATTCTTTTTCCTCTTGATTGTACACAGTGTCAAAATATAAGAACTTTTTAATCTAGTTGACTTTTGTGAAATTCCAACTCTGTACTTAGTATGTTGTGACTCGAACCATGTTATTGGTGCTTCCATATTTTCAGCCATCAAAACGTGTTATGAAAATGTACTTTTATAAATGGCATTTTACCTGATGATGACACCTGGCTTTATTCCTACCGTTAGATGAAGGGTTGCAAGCTTGGTGATATAAATGAGATTGACGATTCGTTTCGCTGGGTGACTTTTCATTTGTCTGACTCTTGAGTGAGGTTCGAGAGCGTTCTTCTGTTCTCTCTCGAGTTAGGGTTTTCTGTTTTTCCTATTTTTTGTAATCGATCATCTCATTCGATGTGTATTTTTGGAAGGTTGTTAACCACTGAATACTGGTATATTCTTGAATGATACTTGGAGTCCTCATGTGTTGAGGTTAGGGATGTGATCTGTTGATTCGTTGTGAGTCTGAGGTAGATCTGTGGTTCCTTCGAAGAGATAAGTCTCTTTCTTGTGTATTCTTGTAGTGGTTGAACTCTGTAACTTTCGATTGCCTATTTTTGGGGCTTTAGTGCAACCGAACAATATCCACTTCGATTGGATGCTCAACAGGGGACTAGGTGCTAGTCACTGAACCTCTGGGGTTTCAGCCGAAAAATCTTGTTGTGTTCTTTATTTTCTACAAGTTTAATTTCTGTTATTAAGATCGATCGTATCTTGCAACTTATTGTGTGGGTTTTTGGCCCCCTTTCATAGTATTTCTCTGTTGACATATTCTGATATGCATACTAGAATGGCTTCATTGTACTGATAATTTTTTTGCCTCAGTGGTTGATGTAATTTCATGTTGTTATTTCAATTAATTAAATGTTGGGCTCAACTTCAGAAAATTTCATATTATTTTGAATGGATTATTCTTGAGAAGTACAATTATTTTTCTTCAAAAAAATTTCTATCTATTTGCTCTATTATGTACTTATTTTTGACTGGTGCTCTGATAATCCTGCTTCTCATACATTTTTCAGGTCTATCTTTGAAGTCTTAATAACTTAGGGTCCATTTAATTACAAATACAAAATTTGGATGAAATGAAAACAAATTCCATGGAATTGAATTACCTAGAAATCGGAGCAGATCAGGAAGATATGTTAGGGTGGGCTGAAAATTGAATTTTTTTCATAGATACTCTTTGCCATTTGAGACTTAGTTCTCTCAACGCTAATGACAAAATGGGTCAAAACATATTTTTAAACATTTATGACAAAGTTCTAACAATATTTTTAACTAATAAAAGTAAATATATATCATATTACTTATTTTGATAATAACATCTATTTAGTGATCGAAATAAATAAATTTTTAACTCACAAATATAAATAAGCAATATATGAAAAAATATTTTAGAAAAAATTACTTTTAAGCTTAGTCAAACATGTGACATATCACAATAAGTTATTCATCTTTACTTTAATCAATAAAAGTTATTTATAATATAATAAACTAATTTGATTATAAATGAACTATTTAAATTTGAATAATTGAACATTTGGTTTGGGTTGGGAATGAAGTTAATTAGACTAAAATTAATTTATGGGCCTAAAATTTCATTGGAAAAAATCAAAACCCAAGTGAATAGTGTACCCCAAGTCAAAAGACAGATTTATAGTTTAAAAATTCAAACATCAGGTAGTTAATAAAATAAAAATAATAAATAAATAAATAAATATATATATATATATATTATATTTCATCCGTTTAAGATCACTTTCCCCGTATAACAGGACTCCCTCCAAATATAAATCCACATTCCAAAATTAAAAATTCAGATGGATTTCAAGTTTTCACGATGGAGGAGGTAACTGTGCCGATTAATTTCGGTAACAAATTCGAAGATTTAACTGGATTCTAATACTTCCCGTCACAGATTACTGCTAGATTTGAGAAACCGAAAATACCAGCCAGAGAAGACAATCCAGGTAAAATCCTATTATTTTGTTCATCCGCTTCGAATGTTGTAGTCACAAATTGAATGCCGTAAGAAGTACTTGATCTTACAGTCACAATTTCAGGAGAAAAAATTGAATGGTAGTCAAACGAGTACTGTCGTCGCTAGCCAAAACTACTCGTAATCGAACTAATTGCTTGAAAATTGCATTCATTGCGTTGAACATGATAAGAACTTCGCAGTCACATAATGTTCATAAATTTGTAATTTACATGTCACAGATACTCTAATCACATATTACATACTTTCCATGTATGTGACTCATGCGTCTACTATGTGTAGTGTGTAGAATTTGAAGCGTAAATATGAGAATGGTAATAAATAAACTATGACCTATGTTTCACCCATTGTCTTATTCAATTTGAGCACATGTGGCCTCTATTGTATGTAATAAGTACATGACCTTTATTTCACCTTTGTCACGTTCAATTTAGACACATAAGTCTTCTCCGTGATATATATATATATATATATCCTGTATGCAATTTGATATGTATGTGACTAGTATTTAGTGGTAGATAACTGACTTGTTTTAAAATGTGAGTGATGTTTCGCCCATTGTGATATTCAATTTGGGTACATATGTACTGTATTTTATGTGATAAGTATGTGTCCTGCATTTGATTTCAAAATTCTGAGTTATCATGAAAATGTGACCTAATACATATAACTTTCATCTCGAGGCCAGTATTGATGTTAATTTTAGCTTGCAGAAATGGTGTACTTGCACAAATGTTTGATAAATGGATCTCAATCGTCGTTGGCGTTGGTGGACCGCAATTGCAGTTATGTACAGCTTGTGGACACAGTTATGAAAGAATTTGATCTGGATCCCATGAAGGTAACAGTCTCATTGAAGTATGTGTTGAATGATGACTTGCCACCAATCAGAATAAAGAACAATAACAACGTTCTATGGTACATTCTACTAAAGGATATGGAACGTGAACCTGCCAAATACCCATTATTCATTGATGTTACAGATACAAAAATTGATAATACATCTATCATAATGTCAATTAATGCACATTCTAGTGGGGAGCTGTGTACGTTGCAGGACATGGCCTCAGACATATGCGAAGCATCAATTAAAACAATGGGTCACATATGTGACACTGAAGTCACAGTTGTATCGGTAGCTGATGCTAGGGAGGTCGAAGAAGGAAGGGTCTTCTGTGAAAAGAATATTTTGAAACTGAGCTTGTCCCTTTTCGCCATACAGAACATGTTTGAGTTTATGGTTGAAATGTCTGACAAGAAAGAATATGTTTTGAAGTGTTCACATCATGGATGTAGTTGGATATGTAGATCATCAAAGTGGGGTAAAACAAATATATTTAAGGTTCGAAAGATTGCTAGTCACACATGTCCATCAAATATAGTGTTGGGGTCACACAGGCAAGTCTCAACTACAGTTGTGTCATCTACCATTAAATATAAATACACATCATCACGTACTATATATACTTCGAAGGATATATGCAATAATATGTTACATACTTACGGGGTTTATTTGAATTATTCGAAAGCTTGGAGGTCTCGCGAACAAACTTTGAGAATGATTAGGGATGATCCAACTGAATCATTTGGTAAGATACCAAGATTCTTCTACATGCTCCAACAAAAGAATCCCGGAACGGTCACAGAACTCGAAGTGGATAGTCACAATAGGTTCAAATATTGCTTTATGACACTTCGTGCATCAATACAAGGATGGGAGCATTGTAGACCTGTGGTTGTGGTTGATGGTACTTACTTGAATGGTCATTATAGAGGTACCCTTTTCACAGCGTGTACACAAGATGCAAATAACAGCATATATATTCTTGCTTTTGGAATTGGAGACAACGAGAATGATAAATCTTGGAGATGGTTTTTGAAAAACTTCAAGAAGGCTTATGGGCACAGAGACGGTTTGTGTTTTGTATCGGACTAAGTATAAAACACACAATAGAATATGAATATCCTAGGACTTCTCATGGTATTTGTACATATCATTTCTTCCAAAACTTGAAATCATACTATGGGAAATCTTGTGAAAACATTACACAAGCATTCAATTCGGTTGTTCGTGCTTATACATTGGAAGAATTTGAATATTACATACGAGGACTGGACACAATGAATGAGAAGATTATTGGTTACCTGGTAGTGTACTACATCTGATGACATTTTCACATACATAAAAATGGTCACATATGTTCGTTATATGATATCAATCAATAAGCTTTTTGTTTGCAGGCAGATGTTGGACTGAAAAAGTGGTCACGAATCCATATGCCAGCAAACAGATACTCTACAATGACTTCGAATATCGTAGAATCAGTTAATGCTGTGACAAAGGCAGCCAAGAATTACCGTATTGTATCGTTGCTAGAGTCATTGCGGCAAACTGTACAATCTTGGTTTTGTAAACATAGAGATGACGCACATGGGACTTTCATGAAATTGTCAAGCAAGTACGAGAAGGAGATGAGGAAAATAAGTGTAGAGTTGAGGCACTTGAGGGTAACTTCATTACTCTGACACTAAAATTCATGTGTGTGACTCACCATAAATGCATGTGACATGAGTTGTATATCTGTGACGGAAGATATTTGTATGCACTATTTGCATGTGTGACTTGGACGTAAGCGTGTGCAATGAATTTAAATGCATGTGACCTGATATATTAACATGTGACATAAGATATATGTCTGTGACATATTTATAATAAATGTGACATGATACTACAACTGTTTTTACATTCTCTCAGGTATCTCCCTCCAACTAGTGAGTGTTTTGTGTCAGCGATGAAAAGTCAACCTTTGTTGTTGATATTGAACAACGTACATGTACATGCAGGATACTGCAAGTTAATTTGATACCGTGTCCACATGCCTTGGCTGTTATTGCAAATACAAGGAGAGATCCATATGCTTACTGTTCTTATTATTACACAAGAGATGCTTACGTGAATGCATACCAATATTCTATATATCCTGTTGGGAACCAGAATGAACGGACAGTGCCTGAAAAAGTACAAGCCAAAATTGTGTTAGCTCCTAACCAGAAGAGGAGTTCTGGAAGACCTACTGAGAAGAGAAAGAGATCATCCAGAGAAGGGAAACCAACAGTGAAATGTGGTCGTTGTGGAGGATAAGGTCACAACTATAGGAGATGCTCAGGTGTGGTTCCATTAAACTAGAATGACATAGGAAAGTAACACAAATGAAAATAGAATTCAATCGTTAATACAGATACATTATAGATATCTCATGTTATTTTATTTCAAACATTCATTAAAATAGCAGAGTGAAATATACCTGTGACCATTTTGTTTTCAAGTGCAATTGAGTTTCGACATCTACATAGTTGTTATGATAAGAAACAGTGACCTATGTTTGAATTCTGAAAATGTTTGATAACCATATGAAACCTGTTGTATGAGATACATATATGTGACTACTTCTTTCATTCGGACCATAAAATGTGACATATGTATCATAACACATAACCTTCTCCAACAGACAAGTGTTCTGTGTCAGATGGGATACCTGTTTCGATTGAATTGTGTCTCATAACTACCTGTGACCTGAGTTGTGAGACATGTGACTACCTTTTCAAAAAAAGTGACATATCTAACTACATTCTCCATCAAATATAAATGAGGGGTGGTGTAACATGTGATTTGTGTCCTGTGTGGTTTAACATGTGACCGTCTCCAACAAAGATATGTCCTGTGTTGTGTACTTGTGACCTGTGCTATATGACACAAGTCACAAGTATTGTGCTATGCATCATGTGACCCGGGTCATATGTGAGACGGAATACCTGTGAAATGCAATATTTTTGTTATGAAAAATATTGCAATAATATGTAATAAATACGATATTATGAGCAAAAACATGTTGCATTCATGTATTGCAAATCAAAGCTTACAACAACAAGTTAGTATTCAATACAATCATCTCCATTCGACAAAAAATACTAATATTTGTAACATGTACAAAACTAAAGCATCAACTTTATTTACAAATTTCAGTCTACTTTCATTCTATGACAATCCCCTCCCCCGTTGTAGGCTGCCTCGCCTTCTTGACGTACATCTCCCGATACTTGTACAGTAGTGTGACAATGTCCATTCTACACTTGCTAGCATCAAATGTATGTGGAATGGACTCTTTGCCTTCACGGAGGATATATAACGCGTATAAGATCACAAATATTCCACAATCGTGACTGCAAAACAATACAGGACAAAATGTTACAAATGAATTTTTTTTTAAAGTTATACACATTGTACTCTTGGTCACAAATATACCCATTCTTCTGCTGAGGTAAGGTATTATCGACAGTAACCTTCAATTCCATGCAATTGAGTTCAATATAATTAGGCCCTTTTTTGATATTCCAAGATTATTCATTAAAGCAGCCAAGATTTTCACAAATGGCTCGATACCTTTTACAACTTTCCAGTCACGGTAACTTTTGTCTGCCGAATTGAAAACTATCAACCTATGAGTTCTAAATTGTAACAAACCAAGCATCTAGTGAGCTTTGTTGGTGGGCAGTAATGCCATGAACACGTAGTCAACATCAGCCCAAGGTGTGCTCAAAGGAAGGCTGTCACCTGTTACAATTTTAATAAGACTAGACTCTGACATCATAACATTGGGATCCTTCAAAAAAGTAGGGTATATATCTTTGATCTTATTCTGAAACCAGGAATCGGTGGTTGTGGCTCTAAGCTTGAAACTTTGTCTCCAAGTTTTGCTACCTAGTGAATGTAATAAAAGCATGCATCCATATGCTGTTTCAATCAAAATGGAAGAACTCGGTAATGTGGAATGTAACCTGTTTATATGAACCATGTATCTGTGATCTGTGACTATGAACTATGGACAGTAATCTGTGACTATGACTGCAATTTGTGCACATTAGGTAATAACTGCGTGGTGTGATCTGTATATACATTCTATGACTAATTAGCAATGAAAATATGACCTATATGAGTAAAGTAATGTAATCATACCGAACTGGTCAAAGATGAGTCTGAATTTGTAAGTTGGTAGAACCAGAACTTATGACCTACTGGGTGTGAACCAATAACAAAAGCAGGATTGATTCTACCATCTTCATCGCTAAATTTTTTCCTTTGACCAATATGGAGAAGTAAGTTATTGTGTTACAACAAGTTATTGATATAAATTAACAAATGGATACGAAATAAACGTACTTGGTTCTTGGTTTGTACCCTCTCTGGAACCAAGCCATGGATGCTGAGCTATCAATTTCATCAACACGACCTTTGTAATTTTCAGAAACAACAATATCATCATACTTGAATAACTTGAATAACTTTCTTTCTCCAGCCACAAATGGAGACTGCAATATTTTCGCAAGCCTTGAAACCCGTTTAACTGGCAGTTCAGAAGTTGGTTCAGCAGTAGTTGTGCCCTGCATAATGTTGTAACAGGTCACAGATTACTTCATGCACATTTATTGAATTTAGCATGCAGCATATAAACTCTAGTCTACCAGGAAATGAACAGTGACCTTAGAACTGGACTGTGTAAGGGTTAGTAAGTATATGTGTAACCTATGACCTATGGCCATTTACTAGTACATGCATTTTGTGAATCCTGAATTTATGACAAGGCACATATTAATTTAGCATGCTGCACATGAACTGTGATCTATAACTATGTACTAGTTATGATCTGTGACGTGTACATCCAGCATATAAGTGTGATCTGTGACCTATGACAATTAACTAGTTGTGAACTACATGATGTCTAAATCCTGCAGTTATAAATATCTAGGTATCAACGGTTGTAATTGCTGTGACCACATCCGATATTACAGAATCGACATGCTTCTGAATGTCTTCAAAATGCAAAATGTCAGGTTGTGTAGAGCCAACCTCCAAGTCAAATGATGGTGCTTCGAGAGTATACGGCAGAACGATATCATCAGTTGGGTCCAGTTTGCCCTTTCCTTTCCTATCCACATTTGGTTCCACAGTTTTCACCTGTACACAAAATGAGAGAATGTTTTAAATGTCAAATGAAACTCTTGAACTATGTGGAAATGTAATGTAACTACCTCCTCGGTCTTATCAGATCCTCCAACAACCAGAGGATCTTTATCTCCAACTCTATGATTACTTTTTTGATGACCAAACCGTTTCATAATCTCATCCGTGGAACTGGAAATCATTGCTGATACCATTTCTGACAAAAATTGCATATTTGTCCTAATCTCCATCAAGTCACTTTTTATGTTAGATTGCATTTGAACTATGTAATTCATCTTCGTCGTTTTCTCAGCATTCATTGATGACATCTGAGACTTAATGTCATCAAGCTTCACATTCAACACTTCATTATAGGACTTCATATCAGATATTTGTGACCTCAACTCCTTAATCTCATGATAAAATAAATAAATTATTTATATGTGACTTGTGATCAAATAGAACCATATATTGCAGACTGTCAAAATGAATCTGTCACATGTGACCCGGTCTAAACCACATGTGACCTAAAACTAGTGGTCTGTTACCAACAATAGAATTGTTTGACAACTAACTAAAATAACAACTTACATCACCCCATTCTACCTCACGAGCTTGTTGTTCCATTGGAGAATGATGAGCAGCTGACGGGCAATCTTGGATTGGGAATTTTCCAAGGGGAGATGTTTCCTACCATATTAGAGGAGGATCAACAAAATCATCATCATCGTTGTCGGGAACACGAGCCTGTCGAACACTGCTATCTGTTAGCAGGAGCACTGATGGACCTGACTTCCCACTCATACCAGCACGGTCAACTGACATTTCTATCCTACTCTTATCTCTACGGCTGTCTGGTGAGAACTTTGGTTGAATTGGCTTCTTGTACTGGACACCATTCATGTATGGCATGGCCATTTCAGTTTCCGAGGGTTCCAGGTCACAAATCTCAATCTGTAGAACAATATAGATTAGAGAAATGCAATGTCAATAGATAAGTACTAAGTACATAATGCTTACTGAAACTTTACATTAGGATTAGAGAAACAATCAGGTCCTTCCAACTTGGCAGCCGATAGTTGCTCATCTGCAATCCAGTTCTTGATGCGGGGATGCATCCTTGATATTCATGTGACCACAACTCCATCAAGGCTAGGAAAAGTCTCATATATCCAGGCTTGAAAGGCTACCAACATACCTCATAGCCTGTAGTGTGAGTTCTCCCTACTCAACTCGTCTTTCAATGCACTCAACGAATTTCAAATAATAACTTACCCCATGGAAACTGATTCATTGCAGAGAAATCCTCAACAAGCATGAATAGGAAGTGGTCAAAAACTTTCTTATAATCTCTTGGAAATAGATATGCCGTGATAAAGTACAGCATCCCAATCATAGCAACATCAGTATCTGGAAGAGTTTCAATGAGATCCAAGTCCGACATTTGGCAAACAGATATGAAAGTGGACTTTACATCTTCATGGGTTACACTATGCACTTGAGAAAAATATTTTACCTTTAACTATGACTCTCTACTTTCAAACACTTGTGTATCACTATCCCCAGAACACCTCAGCCTTGTGACTAAACAAAACTCCGAGATAGAGAACCGGACATATCGCCCCGACACATAAAATCACATTTCTTCGTCATTCGGGTGATGAACTTGCCGCAGAAGGAAGTAGTGAATCAATTGCGGCTATATGACAATTTCATAGCAATCCAAGAAATGAGTAAAACATGTGTCCATCAGTACAAGTTTCTGTCGTTGGCTTAACGATGTCTGAATGGTGGTTAAAACACCCTTACTGACTGAGGTTTTAATCTTGCCTGGAAACCAACTCTCTTCTGGTATTTTGAATTCCCAAACCTACATTAAGTGTAGACACAGTGTTAAATGCTTGTATGAAAAATCACACTGACATACACATTTTAACAAGGTCACATAAATAAATGAAGTCTCACTAAAACTACATATTTATGAAATCTTGGTGGAATTATAGTCACATTATGCAGATTTATAACACATACAGAAGATATCATGGTCACACGTTTGTAACATGGTCACACATCACACAACATATTCAAAACAAATTCACACAACAGTCACAAGTACGCAACCCATCATAGTCACATATTCACAC